CGCTTACGAATATCACGCGTCCGTAACGATCCGATCTTTGACAAACGACGTTTACGAATATTGCGCTTCGTACGTAACGAACGTTACCACGAATTATTCGTGACTGTTAGGAACGATACGCGACACAGGATTATTACTAGTTTCTAACAAACGGCATTCTTTGAATACGGTATCAAGTTTCTTTTGAGAACGGCATTACCAATATATCACTTCCGTAATGAACAGCCTTCAAGACAGTTATACTTCTGTTATGAACGGCAACCTAAAAAATTACGAATTACAACATGCGTCGTTTGCGAGTGATATCTATTAATATTACGTATCCGTTATGAACTGCACCTACGAATATGACGTCTATGTTATGAAATTCACGCATCTGTTACGAATATCACAGGTCCAAAACGAACGACAATTAGCAGAGCACTTTTATTTTGTCGCTATATTATGGTACGTACGTTTGCGTATTTAGCTTATCTCGTGATGACTTTCTTCCAACTATGCTCGTGGTATTAAATAATTTTAAATGACTGGTCTTCAATGATTATTAGGATTGGTTGAACAAATTATTAAGCATACACATTATATTCCGTTTGATACGTTTTGCGTGCTCGTGTACAATAGAGTAAATACTTTTTAGTACTTTTTATATTGGTAGAAAAATTTATTTGCACCTGGTAGACAACCCATTAAAGGTGCTTGATTAGCTTCGTGTGATGTTGAGTGATATTTATTTTCACGGAAACGCCTTAAACTTATATAAAGAATGTGTTGAATTAGATGTTAGGTTCGTGCTTATTATTTAGATAGAGTATGGTAAATACTTTTTAGTATTTTATATTGGTAAAAAAATTTATTTGCACCTGGTAGACAACCAATTAAAGGTGCTTGATTAGCTCCGTGTGATGTTGAGTGATATTTATCTTCACGAAACGCCTTAAAGAATGTCTTGAATTAGATGTATCGTTCATGCTTATTATTTAGATAGATGGTTGAAGAGAAAATCTCTACTTCCACGTCAAGTGTTAGGGGTTGGTTACTGTGTCTGGTGTTAGTTGATGATTCGATTAACCTTAGTTGGATGTTGGATAAATTCGATGTTCGAATTTGTTTCATGGCTATAGAACGTTCCATCAGTATATATACCCATGTGAAGCGATCGAATTTCTTTGTATGTATGTTTTCAACTAGGGTTTATATAGGAGTGGGTTTTAACAAGGTTTTCTAATGGGGTTAAGCGCTACGATCGCAGACATTTCCCTATGGTAAACGATCGACTTTGTACGTGTAGGGAAACTATCTGCGGAGGCTCATCGCATCAACATGTCTTCGCCCGAAAGTCGCTCGCTCGCTCGCCGCGAAAACTTTCGCTCGCCTCGCCACAAGTTTCCCAGGTAAAATCTAGCAAACGTGTCTGTTTTTGACAGCTTCTCTTTCCCCAAAGTCGCTGCCAAGTAAAAACCATACGCTGATTGTACTCGTTTGTTCTAAATTGTTGGCTTTCAGGCGGAAGTTTTTCGTGCGTTTGTCTTGGCTTAGCCTTCCCCTCAGTATTGCGGCGCTGCCGAGGAGGCTGACAATTGCTGTGATGTAGTAGCTTGTTAGCGGCCGTCAAATCTTTTTTGCCCTCTAATTGTTAAGCTATCTGCCGCAGCGTGAGAGAATTCTTTACTTTCTGTTTCGTAATTTTCCTGTAGCTAACGGACCTGTGTATCGAGCTCGATGACGCCCTCGTATTAGTAACTATAGTCATTAATATCTTCGTAAATGATCAATCATGTCGTATTGCTAATCTCCATCTTCAATTGCTACAATCCAGTAATCGATTATTTTTAAAGCTGAAGCAGAATAGAGTGGTTGCTTAACCGAATCGTTCAGTACTCGCAAGTGTTTAGCCATTTAATCTGATAAAGTCGATTCGCCACTTAGATCTAATCCCTAGCTCTAACTATCTTCATCATACGTTCGGTCGTTTTTGGATGTCATATGTTCGTGCTCTGCTGTACGAGGCATTATGCATTTCAAAGCTCGTGTAACATATGTGGCCGGACGCAAGTTCTTGTCGTGGCTGGGGGTCAACTCCCTGTAATTTGTGCGTCAGGTCGCCATTACTGGAGCTCGTCATGGTCCCATTTAAACTGTCTTCACTTTACTTTCATCGCAGAAGAACGTTGCAGCACTTGCATGGCATTATAGAGCCTTTGTCTATGTCATCATTATGGTGTCTCGCTCCGTAACCCAATTGTCTTGTTCAGAAATGGTCACTGAAGATTGAAGAAGGTTCGGATATTGACCAGCTGATGATCGCTCTACATTTTCAACAATTCGGTTATACGGAATGCGTCTAGGTGTCTCGCTTCCTAAGCCAATGGTGTTTGTTCAGAGATGGCTGCAGGAAATGATTCGGATATCTGCATGATATTAGCTCTATATTTTCAGCGAGTTCAGTTATACGGAGTGCATCTATAGGTGTTTTGCTTTGTAATCATATTGTCTTGTTCAAAAATGGTCGCTGAAGAAGGTTCAGATATTGACACGATGATCGCTCTATATTTTTAACGAATTCAGTTATACGGATGCGGGTCAGATTAAGTTCTGAGTGTATATTTCACATGCATCTGTATATTGAGTCAATTTTTATAACCGGACTGCTGAATAAAAACTCTTAGACTCAGGTCGAAACTTATCAGAAATGGCGGTGTTAATCAAATGGAAAATAGTCACGCAAATGTAACCTGCATGCCATGGGATGCGGTTAGCTCTTGAATTGTTCGTTATATATATGAACCATTTAATACTGTGGTGTTGTTTTATATCTTTAAAATTCTTATGCATATTTTTAGCCGAAAAATTTTTTGTCAATGAAGAAAGTTGTAACTTATTTGCGAAATAGATTTTTGGTCCATCTTTGTGGGAACAAAAGCAATCGAGAAGTATTAAATTTGTTTGAATTCTTCATTTCGGGCCGAAGACTATTTAGCTATTGGTGCTGTTTACTTGAGTTGATTCTTGTAGGAGTACGAAGTCATTCGTCCGGATGCATTTTACCAACCGTCTTGCACACTTCTATCTGATTACGGCGACCTGTTTTTCAATCGTTTACGGAATCCATGCATGTGCAACTGCATAAATCAGTCTTTAAAAACTCAAAAAACTATTCAAATATTAACAGTGCTATTGGTTATTTTTCTTCCAGCGTGAATCGCGCACACTTGAGCTGATCGGAGTTCTGCAATAAATGCTAAGATAGAACTAAGCATTCGCATCAGGTCAATCTAATTTTGTTGGGTTCATCAATATAACTTTCATTCCACATGTACCTACTTCAGTTAGCGGTTGATAATTCGTAGAAATTTTACTTTGAACAATCATACCACCAAGACCATGCTACATAAAATATTTAACAAGTACTTAAATAAGATAACATGTTCGAATTGTCATATGTGATCATTGCATTGCTTGAACACTAAGATTTTGTTGCTCCAAGTGGCGTTTAGTTGCGGCTGCGGTTTGGGCGGAGCTTGGATCATGGAGGCGGTTCTGCTCTTCCAGCAGCCAGACGCAAGACACTTTCCTGGTTTTTGCTTCATTGTCGTACAAAACTTATCGCTGCTTGCTTGATGGTCCATGTCATTGACTCGTATTTATGATGTTGCCAAATTTGCTTGGAGTGAACGCTCCTATCGTTTTTTTAACCTGTCTCACATTATATTTATTCAATTGAGTGCAATCTCTATAGAGATCGATTTCTATGTGCAACTATGTCGCATTTAAGTTTCTAAAGCAGCGAGCCTCCCGTGTGGCGTAGATCTTCGTTATGCATTTTATGGGGTGCATTATAGTATTGTATCTGCTCCAGTCAGCAGATGGTTATTAAACTCATAGATTTCGATAAATTAAAAGTCTGCGAAACTTCCTAAATTTTTAAAACTTGATTAATTCATGAAAATTCCGTTTCTATTATTTTTCATTTCGTGTTTATCTAGCCTTTCCAGTGCCATCTTTTAAATTTCTTATTCATAAGTTTAAGTGCTTTAAGTTTTTTACGTTGGTACAATAAAGTTGAACAGTAGAAGTTATTAAAATTGGTAACTTGATAAGTGTGATGAGCAACAGTAGGGCCGAGCAACAGCAGGGCCGAGTCTTTAGGAAGTCGAGTGTCTGGACCGGCAGCAGCAGTGGCGGGCGGCGAACCTCGCTCGACGTTGTGGAGTCAGACTGACTGGAAACCTTGCAGCTCAGTCAGTCCGCTTCCAGCTGCGCTAGTGGTGTGTCGTGCGTCGGTGGTGAGAAGCCTTCGTTTGTGCCATCCCAAACTTAATTGCCTTTGTCAAAGACTACGAAATACTTTCGAAGTAACACTGAGCTATTTGTCTATTCAAATTTAAAGCTTCTCTTACAAGCCTAGGCTTAACCTTGAACTATAATGTTATTTGCGAAAGTTAGATCAAGTACGATACGTAACGTGCCAGCTACTTACTTCTCTTCCCTGTCGCTATGTATCACTCTTTGCTTTAAACGTTAAAGTAACCATATTCACATCGTTTGCCATTCGTTCTATTTTTCACTGCTTTCTGTTAATTTTTCCATGTGGCAAATTTTCACGCGAATTTACTTTCCAAAATTTTAAATCATAAGCACCTCGTACGCTTGCGATTTTCGCTAAATGCTACCGATAAGCGATAACCAAGGCAAATGAGGCCCTTTACTTAGTTAGGCTATGGTGTTCAAGATATGAAAATAAAATTGCTCTTCCATTCAATTTGTTGATCAGTCTAGCGGCGAGAGACCTGCGAGACAGGCTTTAGTCCGGATTGCTTTATATATGAGTTGGTGTCATATTTGAATTCAACGACGTATAATCTTTTTACGTTCAATGGGAGCCTTTATTCGTTCCTGCGATGAAAATTATGCGTGCGAGATATTTGTTTTAAAATATTTTTTTCAATGTTTTGTTCAATCATTGAATGTATAGCTAGTATATAATCATTTCATATTTATAAATTCTTATATTCACCTATTTTAGTTACGCTGACGAAATCAAAGGTAAATGCGTTTTCGTATTTAGCGCCAGAAGTTTGTTGGAAACGCTCTACTATATCGCAATATGTGCGTTGTTGAAAGCAATGTGACATCTGAAAAGTATTGAAATCTTCAGCCAATGCTGCTTGAGTTCTTGATTTGGTGAAGAAGTGTTGTGGTGTTGCATGACAATGCAGGTTAGCAGCAGATTCTCTCACAATAACAACAACAATAACCATCACCATCACAATGGTCACCACTCGAGACAGCCCACGCCTCCACCTCACCCTGACGACCAAGGTGAGATCTCCTGGTTCAATTCAACAGCCAATTAGGTGGTATGTTTCTATATGAGATGTTTGCCATGCTAATATGTTGCCAAGTGTATGTTCTAAAATTTACTTGGATTCCTGGCGATAAATATATAGACGTTACCGCCAAGTGCCAACTCTTTTATCTCTTCTTGAAACGTTAATGTTCAAATTTAATGTGCACATTTGAAATCTTTCCACTCCATGTACTGAAATGTAGAAACTCGCCTAGGAATACTATTAATTTGTGCCACATTTGGCAAAACGCAATATCCCCATTCGGCATTCTCTCCAAATAGATGGTACATCTTTAATGATCAAGTTAATCAAATACTTATTTGCATCACTACATCTCTTCAGGCACAGAAAAATTAAGGGTTATCTAAGTTATTTTCCCAATCGCACTAAAAGGGTTAAAACTTTCCTGATCATTGATATTTTCTTGTCTACAATTCAATGTCCTTTTCGATTGTCTTCAGTGCAAACGTCGTTTTAATTTGATGTTATTCATGTCGCTGCATCAAAGGCGGTCATAACGGATTTGATCAGAAACAATTTTAGTCCAATATCGTTATAAAAATGTTCTTCTAAATTATTCTGGGAATGTTTTTCTTGCATTTAGTTGCCTAACTCCAGATCGATATTGTTTTATTTCTTGCCCATGCACGGCCGTTTTATCATTATTCTTTGTTTGAAGTGAAAATCTCACATAAAGCTAAAACCTTGCAGTGGGCATGTCCGTTTGTGGTGGATGGCTTGAACATGTTAAAATTTCGGTCTTGCAAATCTTCCATTTTCAAATTTTTCTGATCACGGTGAAAATTGTAACTAAAAATTTTCATTTATAGTTACAATTTGGGAGATCAGGAATTAAATATTTCGTGTCTAATTTGGAATTGGAATTAGGTAACAAAATATACCTTCTTTACTGAAAATCATTGTAATTTTTTAGTAATAACTGACATTACAATTCAAAATAAATCAAGATCCTAGGTTCATGTTTTCATTTATAATTAAAAAAAATAGTGCCGCACTTCTGAAGTAGGTAGTTTTTAATGGATGTTTGTATGTATGAGACGAATTAAGGTCTTGAATTTGAATGTTATACTGTAAGATGCATGTATAAACTTTTAAACCCACTATCTGGCTGTGCTACAAGTATTATTATATGCAAGCGTGTTCTTCAATGTTTATTTGATAGTATGGTGAATTTTTTTCGCTTTTTCGCAACTAAATTGGAAATAAAACGAAACCCGAGTTGGAAGAACTTACCTACTCATCTGAAAGCTAGAAGGTAAGACTATGCGGCTTCAGTCTTTATGCTTATGGTACTAGAGCGAAGCGTAAGTGGTCTGAAGTCTATTGCATCAGTAAAGCAAAAATTCTCTAAGGCGTTTAGTTCGAACCTAAAATAAATAAATTATTTTATGATACAAAATTGGAGAGTTGATGGTATGGACTTGGAATGAAAGATGCCACTGAATATGCCGATAATAATTATAATTAATCCACAAAATGAATCTCAGAGGTATCAGCTGAAATGTAGGTTAGGTGCGAGGCAGATTCTTTTTGGAGAATCCAAATATCGTAGGAGATTTTGTGTTGAGGAGAGCCAGACAGCCGCGGAGAGTGTGGTGTGTCGAGGCATCACATATCGTAGCATATTCTGTGTGGAGAAGTGAGCCAGACAGCCGCGGAGAGTGTGGTGTGTCGAGGCATCACATATCGTAGTATATTCTGTGTGGAGGAGTGAGCCAGACAGTCGCTGAAAGTGTGGTGCGTCGAGGCATCACATATCGTAGGATATTCTGTGTGGAGGAGTGAGCCAGACAGCCGCGGGAGTGTGGTGTGACGAGGCATCACATATCGTAGCATATTCTGTGTGGAGGAGTGAGCCAGACAGCCGCGGGAGTGTGGTGTGTCGAGACATCACATATCGTAGCATATTCTGTGTGGAGAAGTGAGCCAGAGAGTGTGTGGTGTGGCGGGCTGCTAGACGCGGCGGCGGGACCCCCTGCCTCGCATCATCCCAGCCTGATAAGCGGCATCTTGTTGCTCTGCCTCCTGCACCCTGCGCGCCACATCACGTTCTCTCTCTTTCTCTCTCCACTTCACTCTTTCTCACCTTGTCACTCTTTCTCTCACTTCTTCACTCTTTCTCTCGCCACTTCACTCTTTCTCTCACCTCTTCACTCTTTCTCACTTCTTCACACTCTCTCGCCTTTCCTCTGTTTTTCTCTCTATCTTTCGCTAGTTATCTATGAACTTAAATCATTACGGCCTCATCGTAGAAGTACATTTTTATTCTTCGGTTTCTTTACTAGCTCCAAACTACATTCATGCTCGTGTCCAATTTTATTTTCCAATATACAAGCGGAGTAATCAATTGATCCTGTCAAATACGGGAAAATGGACCTTAGCGTTTTTTTGATGGGATTAAATTATGTTTTGAACAATATATTTGTTGTGTTACTAATTATTATATCACATAAAATTTCTATGTATTGGCTGTGCCAATATTAGGTTTTAATATTGTACAAGTGCTTCAACGAGGATGTTTATAGGATCGTCTATGAATGAGTGATTTAGTGAATGAATGACTGAATTAACGATGGTACACTTTAGCTGCAATTAGTTATTGTATGCATAGATAGATGAAATTTGGAGGTACGTCTCGAGGAGCATTACACATTTAAATTGGGAAGTTCAAGAAACATATCAAACATTGCAATTTAGGGTACGATGGACGTTGTTTTAAGAAGTTTTCCACTGTATTGCTTGTAGAGGTGGTCAAATTAAATAAGCACATGCTTTAATAATTTTGAAACAAGCTTCAATTTATTCTGTGGAATGTTTCCGCTTGCTAAAAGCTTTTTTTAGATTTGCGCAACTTATTATTTATCCAGATTTACAAACTCTCCCTATTTTATAAATTTATTATGATGTTTCATTGAAAGATTCGAAGTTATGGTTCTTCGTTCGTTCATGTGATTAGAAGCTATTGCGTTGCACAGGAATTATAGTTTTATATACAAAATGAAGCTAGTATTACTTTATAATCAAGTTGTTTATTTCCTATTTGTTACTATCAATTTCCAAGACATTCTAAACTTAGCGCATTATACGATCAATGAAAAGCAACGGCTTACGTTGTCAACATTCATCTGAAGCGCAATTCCTCAGCGTTTATTACGTTGGCTGGCGTGCAATCAACATTTTTGAAGCTAATTTAAAGGATCATTCAATTTAGAGAGATTCGGCTACGCGTGGACCAGCCGTGGCTCGCTCACTACCAATTGCCTCGAATTCTGGCGTGGCTGCTGGCAATTGAGGTTTGGTATGCCGCCTCTGCCACACAGATATTTAAGACCTGCACCAGCACCAGCACAGCTGCCGTGTTATTGCGCCCAGCTACCATCTACCACTGCTAGGTACCTGCTACACAAGCAGCACCGGCACAGCTGCCGTGTTATTGCGCCCAGCTACCATCTACCACTGCTAGGTACCTGCTACACAAGCAGCACCGGCACAGCTGCCGTGTTATTGCGCCCAGCTACCATCTACCACTGCTAGGTACCTGCTACACAAGCAGCACCGGCACAGCTGCCGTGTTATTGCGCCCAGCTACCATCTACCACTGCTAGGTACCTGCTACACAAGCAGCACCGGCACAGCTGCCGTGTTATTGCGCCCAGCTACCATCTACCACTGCTAGGTANACGTCATCGGTACGTCTCTCCGCTCGTTGCTACGTCATCGGTACGTCTCTCCGCTCGTTGCTACGTCATCGGTACGTCTCTCCGCTCGTTGCTACGTCATCTGTCTGTTACTCCGCTCATGTCACTGGAAGCGCCACCTATATGCTGGGAGTTTTTTTAAAGATACAGTTAATACTACGCACCTATAAACGTTTTTGCGTTTATACGCATCCACTCTGATGTACGATTTACGCATTTTCTTTTACGTTTTGACGGTTTTGATTAGATTCTTTAAATTTTCTTTTTTTCAAGCCTTTAATTATTTAATAATTTTTTGAGGTTTGCTTGTTGTCGTGTCTTTAGAAATAGTCCTGTTCCTTCTCAGTAGTACCTGCAGTTATCTATTTTCAAAAAATTATTATGATGATATCATCAGTTGTTAGAGCTTTTCATGATATTTTTGTTGGCTCATTACTGTTATCAAGTGTAAATACGTAATTTTTCATTTTCCAGTTATTTCCAAAAAATTTCTTTTTTAATTAATGTCAATCATAGAATGAATTTCTTCGAGAATAATCTAGAGATAAATAACATATTTGTTGCGCTCCTATATAGTAGTAGTTTGATCAATAGAGTTTGACCTCTACTTGTATTATGTCATGTACAAAATGCACGGTTTTTTATTGAGTGAAGATTGAATTGTTCGAATAGTTAGTGTTCCGTCTATATAGTTGACGAACCTCCCACTTGAGAAATGGATAATTTGTTCAAATTCCCAATTGTTTTGATATATCGTGCATAAACACATCACGCTGACAATTAGATCATATTACATAAATTAATTTTTAATGCTATTGTAAATTTATCTATAGAGTATTTAAAGTATAAATTACAATGTTTAAATTTAAATACACTTTTCATTCTTTATTTGAGTACACACTTTCTCCGGTCTGGTGATACTTGCAACATGAAATATGATACTTTCATGACTATCGTAATTTGTTCTACAGTTCAACTATATATTCCGCAGTAAATCTTGTAAATTTACCGACTACTGACTTGTCGCGTGTCTATCCATTTATTTCGGTGCATTAATAATTCACTCTCCCCGGTGAATTAATACGGGTTCCGATTCTGAATGTGTCGCATGCTGCTCTTGTATTCCATCACATTAATAATTGTATTCCATCACATTAATAATTGCCCTGTGGTCATTGAAGAAAATTCTAGCTGCACACGACACCCGCCACGGCTGAATGTGCGTGTCGTACGTACGGTATACCTTTAAATT